TCCTCTTTGGAGGGGTGTACGCACGTGGATACTTACCGGTCACAGGGCTCCGTCCCTGTGCTGATGGTATCACGGCTATGACAAGTTTGGACCCGCTATGACTAGCTTAGACCAGCTCTGTCCAGCTTGGACAAACTATGACCAGCTTAGACCAGCAGCCCAAGTAAAAACACTCGGGTCCCCACATTAAAAACTGACCTTGTGTCACAATTAACTAAATACCAAATTACTATAAAGTAGAGCTGGGTCTTTTTAATCTCAGGATTCATGGGAGAGTTGAGCTCCAATCTCGCATTTATTCATATAGATTTTATGATATAGGTTTTAATTAGCTATTATGTTTCTCTAACTCTTCAAATATTGATTGTATAACTAATTTCTATTTTCCCATCTTTACACTATATTAATTTTATCTTATATCCCCTGTTCTGTCATCCATGAAATAAAAATAATTGTTTGTATGCAAAATAAGGATCTATGTATATCAAATTGTCTTTAAATTAAGTGGCAGCAGAAGAATTATCGTTGAACTTTTAAAAGGTAAGCTTGAACATTAATTCAATACTTAAATGCAATGATCAATTTTGAGTTCTTCTGTAGTTTATTGATGCCTATCGCAGCTACTCCTCCGTAGCTCTTGTGATAATGGCCAAACCAAGATTCCTCTACAGGAGCTACCTTAAATGCTGCCCTATGCAATTTTGGATACAAAAGGAAAAATAAGAGTTACTCCCCCTGAACCATGAAAGCAATGATAATGGCTAGTATAATATATTAATATATATTTTTAACCTTGCATAATCTGGCAATCCTGAATATGAGCTCAACAAAAATCGTTCCCTGCACCTAACTATTCTAGGGCTTTTTAATGAGCTCTGAATCATTGAAATTGGACCAGTGGGTGCAGAGAAGTTGCTTGGACACATACACACACACACACACACACACACATACAAACATACACTGTTATATGCCATTCGTGATACACACTTAGGCGATCATGTATCTTTCAATGCATGACTGACGAGGCAGATTTTTTTCCCTCTGCAGTAGGTTGCCATTTCTTTCTGCAGTAGACCAGTTGCCATTCAAGGCTATAGAACTCAGTCTATTTACCCATAACTGGGGCGGGGGGGGAGAATAAGAGCATTTATACCTTTCCCAAGGGTATGAGCACATAAGTGAATGTAATGAATTTGGCTGGAATTCAAACTCAGCTCTTTGATTCCTCAATCTGAGTTGTTATCCATTACACCACCATGTCTCCACATGTACTTTATATATAAGATTTAAAAAAAAACATCTTTCAGCATTATTTTGATTTGTAATCATAATTTAATATCATATATTTCTGGAGTTCTTAGGATGTATGTCCAACAGGAGTCCTTAGGTTTTACTCAATTACTTTTAATTCAACCATATAAAATGTTTCTTAAATAAAGTACTTAGTAAATGGCATGGGTAAATTAGTTTTTCTGATAATCTTTGTTCAATTCATTGTAAAGTTCTTATATTGCTAAATAAACATTATTCCAAATATTAAACATAGAAATAAATAACATATTTAGATTTCTACTTTAGTTTTATTGTGGACTTCTGAAATAATTCCACAAATAGAAAAAAACAATTTCTTTAAATAATGAACAATCTTTTATTTCTTTATTCATCCATTCTTGACATATGTGTTTAAACCACTTTCTTGTCTAAATAGAGACATATTAACTTTGCCTGAAGGATATTCACTATCATTCACCCACACTGACATCTTTGATAAGACATAAAGATATCAAAGATTGAGGAAGTCCAAAATTTATGAGCAGTTGAGGAGGAGGTTGGGTTTGATTACACTTTTTTGTTTTATGACTGTCAATCATTTAAATTTTCTTTGACATTAACTCTTAGTCTTCCAACTAGATTGGGTGGTAATAATGTCTCTGATTAATTCTATGCAAACATTTCTTTACGATGGCTAAAATTTTATTTCAGCTCCAAAATCAAAATGGAATTATTCCTAAATGGTTGAAAAATTTTATGAAATTATTTCAATATGCACACTGCTCCATACTAAAGTGTCTCTCCTCATAAACTGTTAACCTGAATGCAATGACAACTTTTGATTGGATCAAACAACTTGTAATATTAATTTAGTTCTCCAATAATGGACATGTTAAAAAGAAAAACCTTACTTTTAACCAAACTGCCTAAGATATCCAAGTTTTGGGTTTACACTAGATTCTGAAATTGTCTTGACAAATAAGTTGAGACAAACAGAAAACTGATCATGTCACACCTTCCATAAATAGTAAAGTGTGAATTTCATTCTATGCAAAATTAAAGCAAAATTGCACAAATTTCAATATTTCTATCCACCATTATCACACCTGAAGCAAAAGATGAAACTGAACAGTGTTGATGACAAGGATATATGGTAATAATAATAATAAATTAATTATAATAATATAGTAAACTCATAAATATTCTTTAGATGCGCACAAGAAATAAGATTTAGAATAAAAATCTGTCATAAAAAAGAAAGAAAATACTTTTGATACATCTTACTATTATCATCAAAAAAGGATGAACCCAAATTTCCCTGAACTCTCCTCTCATCACAAGTTAGCTTTTACAATTAGACATTGGACAAGAATTTGAAAGTCATCCATGAGAAGCTACTCTCCATATTATGTGATTCTTCAGACAAACATTACACCCTAAAGAGGATTGGCAATATTCTCAAAAATAAGTGATATTCATTTAGAGACTTTGCTTCAAGTGGCATTCAAATGTTTTTGTTTACCTTTTTTTTTCATTAACTTATTTTTACCTGTTAAAGAATTCACTGACATATTTGAATTTCTATGAGATTACTTTTTTAATATTTAATTTTTTTTTGTTATGAAGAAAATATCAGTTTTATTCTTTAAAAATCAACACTTCCTCCCCACCTACCACCATCTATGGTAGTAACATCAATACTAGTAGTAGTATGATAATGATTGATCGTTGTTTGGTAGTAGAGATGAACACACAAACACAGTGTCTATATTTCTGAGATGAGATATTATGTACATTATTTACATTATTTGGACTGTTGTCTTCATCTTTGTCGCCATATTTATTACAACATTTCAGCCGTTGTACACTCCGGCCTTCTTCAGGTGGTTGGAATGTTGAACTTAACCCTTTATTTTTCACTCACTGGGGTAGACTGTTCTAGTTCTAGTTGGAACTAGAACAGTCTACCCCAGTGAGTGAAATAAAGGGTTAAGTTCAACATTCCAACCACCTGAAGAAGGCCAGAGTGTACAACAGCCGAAATGTTGTAATAAATATGGTGACAAAGATGAGGACAATAGTCCGAATAATTTACAAACACAGCAGTTCATTTTTTTCTGTGGGTGTGCAGTACCCATTTCTTTAACTCTTTACATGACCAAAGAAACAAAGATAGAAGTTTGATTATTATTGCAGACTAGCAGACTCTTACTGTTATATCCCCAGCGTTGCCCGGGGATATAACAGTAAGAGATAGATCAAGTATCTACCATCATAAAGACTGAAAAATAAAATTGACAAAGATTATTGTTTAAGGTTGACGGACACGCATGTCTTAATAATTTTTTTTTTTTAGGAATTAGTCAAACTCAAACAAAAACATTGTTTTCAATCGTTATGAGTCTCTACCGATTGAATAGAATTTTATTATAAACAATTGTCTTGTAAATGGAATTTTTAAAGCATTCTGAATGTAAAAATAAAGAAAAAAGTGTGCAAGACAATAAGAAACACTACATGCCAAAAAAAAAGTGAAGTTTTGTTGAAATCGGTTGAAAAATGTAGGTAGCCTTTCTGTAATCTTTTAGTTTTACAATTTATTTTACTTATTGAATACAGTAAAAAAAATTGCATATTTTGCTTGTGGTGATTCATAATTAGAATTCTGATTTGAATATATTTTTCCACTCGTTTCTAATACAAAAATATTAACTTTATTTGGGTTTATTAATTATGATCTAACAAATCTTATTCATTTAGTAGCCTTTCTGTAATAATAATCTTTTTACAATTTATGATTTTTACTTATTGAATACAGTAAAAAAAATTGGACACCATGTGTATTTAAAGTAGTTTCCCGTTCGGTTATTATTTTAGTTAGGACTTGTGTATGTTTAGATCTCATTATCTTTCCCTAAAGATAAAGAATTTATCCGATGTTTGTATTCGTACAATCAGTAGAGATCGTTAGATTATTGTTTAAGGTTGACGGATATGCATGTCTTAATTAGTTTTTTTTTTTACGAATTGGTCAAACCCAAACTCAAACAAAAACATTGTTTTCAATCGTTATGATGAGTCCCCGATTGAATAGAATTTTATTATAAATAATTGTCTTGTAAATGGAATTTTAAAGCATTCTGAATATTAAAAATAAAAAAAAAAGTGTGCAAGAGAATAAGAAACACCTGCCAAAAAAAAAAAAAAAAGTGAAGTTTTGTTTTATCGGCTGAAAAATATAGGAAATCCGCTCCCATATTTAACGGAACCCACACACACAAACAACCCGATGTGAGTTGTCCCCCTTCCATTTTCACGATGTCTCTTAATCGTGTTTTCAAATTGATTTTGTTCAAAAACAATTATATTTTTCCCATTTTTGGCGCTGTTAGAACCACCACAGGGTAATTTTATGTAGTCCTGTGAAGTTTTGTTGAAATCGGTTGAAAAATGTAGGAAATCCAATCCAATATATAAACGTTACAGACACACACACACACACAATCTGCGTTTTGTAATAAGTAAGATTGAATTCCTCTTATGTTTGGCATTTTTTACAATGAACAATTATAGAATTGACAGTATGACTTAATTTGAAAATTTCTAAAAAGAAAATCATTTTTTTAAAATATTTCTCTTCCTTTTACTTTTAACTTATATAACAGAAAAATTCCTGAAATCCTTTTTTGTTTTTTTGTTTTTCATTTTTTTCTTTTTCTCCTCAGAGGTCTGTATCAGACCGAGCTCCAGCAAGTATGTTGTGTCAAGCATCAGCCTGTTTGTCTCTACCCAGAATGATTAGTAGCCAGTTGACCACAGACACGACTGGCAGACTCTTTGAAGTCCTCTCCATGATGACCAATGGTCTGCCTGGCCAACCAAACCAGCCAGAATCTCCTGTTCTTCTCTTTCATAATGGGCTGACTCTTGGCATGTTGTTGGCTCGGCTTTTTGAAGAACACTTCAGTGAAATTGGTGGACCCAAAGTAAGATAGTTGATATGTTGTTATTTTTAAAAAACATTGAAGTTATGAACACAAAAAAAAACATCACATCACTCAACAAAACTTTAGTTTCAGTTAAAGATTGGGAGAGAAAATGAAGATTTTAAATGTTACTTTTCATAATTAAAAGTAGTTAAGATAGGAATTGTAAAATCATTGTATTTTTGTTGCATTTGTTGTCAGGATCATGAAAAAAATATGTTAGATGGTAATCATGAAAACAATGTTTTTTATTTTATCAATAAAATGTATTTAATATCAGTCAGTCAGTTATGTGCCATGCATGATACACACTTAGGCAATCATGTATCTTTTAATACATGACTGACGAGGCAGATGTTTTTTCCCCACAGTAGGTTGCCATTCCTTTCTGTGGTAGACCAGTTGCTATCCAAGGCTGTAGAACCTGGTCTATCCTGCTATTTACCCATAGCTGGGGGGAGAAGAGGATTCATACCTTTCCCAAGGGTATTAGCATGTAAATGAATGTAATGGATTCAAATGGATTTCGAACTTGGCTCTTCAATCCGCTATCCATTACTCCACTGTTCCTCCCACATATTTAATATAGGAAATAAATAATTTAAATTTGTATCTTAAATAATTGAAATTATTTTTAAAAAAAGTGAAATTATTACTATCATGTGTTTCATAGAACAAAAAATGTTATTTTCACAATTTCCATCTTAAATACTTTTTCATAAGTGCTATCTGAAATAGTCTTAATAAAAACACATTTTAACATCAAAGATGTAATTCCTAGTTGAATACTTTTAAACAAGATTTTTTTTAATGATTCCTATATTAAATACAGGAATCATTAAAAAAAATCTTGTTTAAAAGTATTCAAGTATTTGGCTTAGTTAAAAGTTATTTTATGAACAAATTAAATGATTATGTTCTGAAATATAAAAAATATCTATTACTAACAACTAAAATGGATAACACTAGAAGAAAAGATAGTGGCATAATCAAGATGTTGATATTCCACACTACTTCAAATAAAAGTTTAGTAAGGAAATCCCCATCAATACTGGAAAGAGTGATAAGAATGGTCTTGAGAAACCTATTTTCTTGGAAAATTGTTTTAAGACAAAGATTCTATAAATTTCAACTGAAATTGCCATATGTCATTCTTAGAATAATCAATTCAGTCAGTTATGTGCTATGCGTGATACATACTTAGGCAATCATGTATCGAAAGGTAGATTTTTTTTCCCACAGTAGGTTGCTATTTCTTTCTGTGGTAGACCAGTTGCCATCAACCCAGTCTGTCCTGCTATTTACTCATAGCTTAAGAGGAGGATTCATACCTTTCCCAAAGGTATTAGCACATAAGTGAATGTAATGGATTGTAATGAATAATCGATTAGAAGATTAATTAATCCCTTAATATTCCATTAAGAGATTAATTTATCCCTTAATAATCCATCAAAGGATTAATTAAGCCTAGAGTTATACAAGTTTAAATTTTATGTGTTTATTGACCTCTTTAGGCAATTATAAATTCCTTGATTAATTCTTTCTAGCCCATGGGTCATGATTGAGAGAGACCTGTGCCCCCTGTTCTCAGCAGCCAATAATAACAAACATCAGGGCAGTTCTAATGTTGCTCATTGTAATTTTATTATTATAGCCTACCAAAAAAACAAAAGTATTTTTTTTTCTGTATGGATGGAAATTGCTTTAGAAAATGTACTGCAAAAAATATCAGTGCATTCTCTATGCTCATTCTTATCACTCTTTTCAGTATTGATGGGGGTTTCCTTACTAAACTTTTGTTTGAAGTAGTGTGGAATGTCAACATCTTGATTATGCCACTATCTTTTCTAGTGTTATCCATTCTGATAACGTTAATTCATTCTGGATAGTCTGTAAATATTTACTTTTGTTTTATTTGCATAATGGTAATTTCTTAGAATAAACATAGCTATTTACATCCTTAAAGAGTGATTTGGACCAAATGTAGTAGTCAATAAGATGAAATTGTTAAAGTCATTGCACTACTGTAGGCACCCTAGAGAATTTTGAAAGACTAAAAATGTCTTACTGATTTTGACCTCATCTGTCATTTTGTCTGTCTTCAGGGAATGCAGCAGGTGTGGAAGTCACTTGATGCTCTTGAAAAATGTTGTTTGGATGAAGAATTACCCAACAGGTACGTCAAGCACAACTTTTTTTTTTTTATTGGTTGACTGAAAGAAAACTGGATTTGATTCCACCTTGATTTACGCTGCCCCAAATTCTTCTGAATATCTCAAAGATTATCTTCCACCAGTTGAAATAGCAAAAAAAATTGAACTTCAGAAGCAATATTTTTCTCTTTCTTAAAAATAAAAAAAAAACAGAGGCTTTACAAAACGTACTACAAAAAATATCAGTGCATTCTCTATGCTCAATCTTCTGATAACGTTAATTCATTCTGGATAGTCTGTAAATATTTACTTTTGTTTTATTTGCATAATGGTAATTTCTTAGAATAAACATAGCTATTTACATCCTTAAAGAGCATCCAGGGTGATTTGAAAGTTTTTCAGTTTTTCCAACATGTGTGATTATTGTTGTATAAGAAAGTCCTAGAAAATCATTGTAATTGTGAATCTGAATTCAGTTATTTTTTTCAGAAGTTTTTGAATTTTTGTAATGGCTAATCAATTGTTTTGTGAATGAACACTCTTGTATGCAACTGTTTTAAAGAAAAAGACAGTAATCAGAAGAAAAAAAATAGAATTGTGTGTAAGGAAAGAAATTCAATGGTTCAATCCTGAATCATAAAGAGATTTCAATGAGCAATGAATGTATTTTCATAATTGTTCCTCAGTGTATGAGTATATATCAGTACATTCTTTATGCTCAATCTTCTGAATCATATGAATGTATTTTCATAATTATTCCTCAATATAAAAGTAAATATTGATCAGCATTTCAAATCTTGTCTTTTATTTGAACTCAAACATGGATCTCAAGTCTGTTAGTATGTAATAATAAACCAAACTACTATTGAAATGACTATCCAACGTAATCATTATCGGTTAAAGAATCTTTCTTGTTATTGGAGAACACTAGAATCATAAAATCAACAAAACACAATAAGATCAATACAAGCTTTTTATCATTTTGCTTGGGAAATAAGAAAAAATATTTCTAGATCCTTGGATTTAACATACCAAATTTTTTGCTTGCCTCTCTTTTACCAGCACCACCCCCCACACATCCAGTGTGTGTGTGTGTGTGTGCATAGATGATAACTTCATCCCCTGCCATTAATTTTTATCACTATCAGTCAGGTGTGAGTGAAGATAAGAGTGATCCATTTATCCGCAATGTGTACAAAAATATAATGTAATGCATGAAATTGTGTAATGACAATTAAAATACAGAATTCAGCAACCCTATCCACAAATGACCAAAAAATTAAAAACTTTGGAAAATACAAAGATAAAATTTAGAGGTAATTTACTTTGGTTTCTACCAAAAGTATGTCGTTGATTTCTTGCCGAATTTATGTCTGCTTTCAAATTATTTGCCAGTGGTAGTGGTTATTTTATTGATACAATTGACACAATATTACATTCAGACACCCCCTCCTCCTCTGTTTTAATTTTCAGTTTCTTATATAAGACCTGAATAATAAATATGACTGATCGGAAGAGATGGAGGTAAATTCAATTGGTCGGTCAGTCAGTCAAGTGACATCACATGATACACGCTTGGGTGATCATGTCTCTCATGACAGAAGATTTTTTCCACAGCAGGTTGCTATTTCTTTCTGTAGCAGACTGGTTGCCAACCAAGGCTATAGAACCCAGTCTATCCTGCTATTCAACCCATGGTTGGAGGGAGAAGAGATGGAGTCATATGTTTCATGCCTTTCCCAAGGGTATTTGTGTGTAAGTGAATGAACTAAACTTGACTGGAATTCGAACTCGGCTCAACGAGTGTCTCATTCCGAGCTGATATCTCCATTATGCCACGACACACATCCAAATAACTGGATGTAAGTTGCAGTTTTCCATTAAGTCTGCATAAATGGGCCAAATTCTATTCGGACTCTGCCAAAGCAAGGCTACTTTGATTTTATAAATTCACTCTTGTAAATTGTACCTTCTATTATTTGAATTAGAAACCATCCTCCTGTTGGTTGGTAATTTCATAAACATGTTGAATTTTTTATCTTTCACATGGTATAATTTTTGCTAGTGCAATATCATTAAAGTGAATAAAGCAATTTCTAGTTTAATCTCTATCAGTATTATCTCTTTTCTCTTTAGCATGTCGCACAGAACAATAATATCCTCTTAGTCTTTCATCTTTGAGACATTTGGACCTATGGTGAGAATCCAGTAAGCTCTTGTGATCCACAAGAGCTGAGTTTCAATTTCAGTCTGGTTCATTATATTTATTTACATGCACAAATACCCTTGGAAAAAGACTATGGGTTAATTAGTAGGACTTGTATCACTAAATCATTATCTCCAAAACATTCTCAAAATATTTTTTGGCTTCTGCAAAATGTTGATAAACTTTAAAAAAAAAACAATCAATCATCTACCCTGCCATCAATTGTGACAGAGTAACAAGTAGGATATCTCGCAGGTGATAATGACAATGTCAACACCTGTGTCTGTGCTTTCAAATAATATTGCCATTATCATAGCAAATAAGGTTGATTTAACATTAAATCTTCCTAGTTTGTAAATAGGATAATGTTAACCTTTCTCTTCCTTTAGAAATCTTATAAAAGACCCTTGAAAGACTTCATCAGGAAGTTTAACATTTGAATAACACTCAAGTAAATATAATTCAATCGACTAGAGCTTACTGAAGAATAATTTGATATAATCATTAGTCACATGGGCTAGAAACTTATTTTGTTCTAATTAATCTATATAATAAATGTGAATGTCAGTGTGTCACACTTTTCAATTAAAGGGACACAATTCTCTAACTTTCAATAGTTCATGTTACAGAAATTTTTGATTCCCAATTTTTCATTACTGCAATTGTTTTTGGTGATTTTTTTTTTTTTTACATGAGTTTTTATGACAAATTTTTTTAAACAATAACAATTTTTATAAGTTGGAAATAAATTTGGGAATTATCAAAATTAATTGCGAAATCCAGCAAAAGTCACCCATGAAATAAAAAATAATTGTTTGTTTAGAAAGTAAAGACCTACACACATCAAATTGTCTTTAAATTAAGTGGTGGCAGAAGAATTATCGATGAAATTTAAAAGGTAAGCTTAAATATTAATGCAATACTTAAATGCAACAATCAATTTAGAGTTCTTCTGTAGTTTATTGTTGCCTATCACATACAAGTATGCCTCACAATTAGAAATCTCTGCCAACAGAGGTCCAGATTGCAATCAAAAGAGCCAAGCCTGCAGCAAGGAAAAGAAATTCCTGTACAAATGAAAACCAAGGTCAAATGGCAACCAGAAAAGCTTCCAAAGACTTAGGAACTCTCAAACTCCTGAACAAGCCAAAGGCCCAGTTAAGAGCCCTCTGCAGCAGCCAGCTTAAATGCTGCCCCATAGGGTGGCTTTTAAGCTAGTTATCAATAATTATGTTGTAAGATCAATTCGCATATATAAAAAAATATATCTATACCTTTTTTTATAAACACCGAAAGCTGGGGATGGTCCAACTTGTTGCAGTGTACCTCCCCCTGACAGTAAGCATACCTGATGCAGTTGAGAGAGCAACATTCTGTCTAAGCCAAATGCTGTTTCTCATTGCTTGCTATGTGTGCAAATCTAGTGTTTATCTTTACCAGTTATGACAACTACTGCCTGCCAGCAATATGTGTCGACAGGAAGTGATGGCTACAATGACAATTGCACTGTCATGCAAAAAGGAGAGAATATGGTCATCACAGATGGAAACAGCCTGCAATGTGATAACAGGCAAGCCAAGGGTGACTGGCCCACTGGCTAACCAAACACCATCAGCGGTTGAATTCACATTAGTGTATAGTCAAGCAACAAGAACAGATACTCTTGTGTACCAACTAATCTCACTTGTGATGACTTTTAATCATTGAACAATTTAAAAAAATCAAATTGTCCACTGGCCAAAACATTTGGGTTGTCCACCTACCTTCACATTGAGTTGGCAACAGTCCAACCTGTAACTGCATGCTTCTGCCTTCCAGCAAATCCCTTAAACAATTGAAATTTTTTATAAAATCACTTATCCAAAAGGAAAGACATTTTATGTTAAAATAGTGTTAAGGTGCTTCACCATGGTGTAATGGTTAGTGAGCCAGTTTCACTTATAATTACTACTGTGTAATAACTTTGATCCTCACTAGGTGCCACTTCTTGCATCACATAAGCTTAGTATATTTCTTAAATCAGTGTAAGTGTGGTTAGTATAAATGAACAAATGGTCAATTACACATTATTCTGTAATTTTCTAAACTGCTCCCAATTAATCATCTGAGAGACTCATCTCTGCCTTCTGTCAACATGAGAGTGACTTGTTACGCCTTCTCAGGATTACATTCTCAGCCCATATAAAGTGGAAAGACTATATTGAATCCATTGTTAGGTCAGCTGCTATGAAAGTCCGTTCACTGGGTCATGCGAGACAATTTTTCTCTCCAGAATCTAACTTACATATCTAACAATTGTCCATGCTTAGAATATTGTTGCCACATATAGCCTGATGCTCCTGCTACTTACATAGAGCTCCTTGATAAAATAAAAAATCAGCAATATTATTGGCCCTGTTCTAGCAGCTTGACCTCAGTCTCTTTCTCACTGCCATAAGATTGCCTCTCTGTGCCTTTTCTATAAATACTTTCATGCTAATTGTTTGGATGAACTCTTCACTATGGTGCCTAGACTCTTTGAATTTAAGAACAGTACTAGACTGGCCACAAGGTCTCATCAGTTTACAGTTGAGTTGGCTAGATGTAGCCATAAATTCTATGCTAACAGTTTCTTTTCTCACACTTCTCACTTGTGGAACTCCCTTCCAGCTCCATGATTTCCAGCCAACTTTAATGTGTAAAAATTTAAATGCAATGTCAATCATTATCTACTGTCAACCTGATTACTTTTTTATTCTTGCTCCTTAACAATGTTTCTTTTTCTCTTTCACATTCTTGTGTCTCAGAGGCTTTACTGCCTTGCTTGGGGTGAAATTG